TTCATTTTTAGGTGCAATTTTTGTTCAATATTATACAAATTAAGCTGTAATTAATAATGCAGGTTAATTACTGCTTAAAACTGGATATATGGTAGCCTAAAGAATGGAACAACTCAGACAAAACTTTAAAGACTTTGAAATATACATGGTTCTTTTTTACCTTGAAGAGGAAATATGTGTGAAGTGTGCAGAAGTAAAGACAAGACTTTCAAGTTCCTTGAATAATATACAGTATTTTGAGATCAATTAAATCTCAGAGAATTTGTGTTAGGAAGGATTATAACTTTTTTGGGGGGAGGATTTCTTTGACATTTCACATTTTCTCTGCAACCTACATTTGAACCATAAGCAAGTTCAAACATGTTTATGAGTAATAATCTGGCCTTTCTCACCAGATTACTCATAAATACGCTCAAAAACCACCCATAAACCCAAACACAGGTTGCATTAAAATATGACATGTCATAGAAATCCTCTCCCTGGTTATAACACCAATGTATTAGATGCTGCCCAGGTTCTTGAGTGCCGCCTGGCCTTTTCATGTAATGGACAAAGGCTAATAAACAACCTGAACCTAGAAAAGATGGAGATCCTCCTTCGGGGGGTGGGTGGGTTCCTCAGGATAGATTATGGGGTTGTCTTCGCAGGCTGGATGGTATAACTCTTTCTTTTGGAGATCAAATGCACAACTCGGGTGTATTCATGGGAATTCCAAATTGTGGTCATGACCTGGTCAACATTTACCAAGCTGAGGCTGATCACCCAGTTACATCCACACCTGGTCTGGGGGTGCCCGGAGATACAGTACTGGTGCATGTACTGGTGATCTCAAGGACTGACTACTGCAAGACTTGCTTCATGGGGCTTCCTTCGAAGTTGACCCAGAAACTTCAAAGGGTGCTGTTGAATCTGAATAAGTTGAAACACATATCCCCAGTTCTGACCAGCCTGCACTGGCTACCTGTGTTGTACTGGACCAGATTCAAGATGTTGGTTCTTACCTACACAGCTCTTAACAGTTTGAAACCTCACTACTTGTCAGATCATTTTCCCCTAAAAACATCTACCTGTGCCACCTGATTCTTTCAGGCCATGCTTCTCCAGGCTGCCACTCCAAGAGAGGCCACCAAGTTATCTACTAGAAACAGGGCCTTCTTAAAAGTGGCCACATCCCTTTGGGACACTTTTGACCGTAGCAGAGAACCATTTGAATGTTCTATCACAGGCTAGTCATGCCCACATATCTGCATGTTTTGGATAGGCAGCACATATATCTGCAAGCTAATGCACATTTTTCACACACTATGGTTCCCTACTAAGATCAGCAATAGCATGTAAGAAGCCACAGCATTTGATATACATATAGGGTAGAATCCGTTCCTGGAACATTCATCATCTGATGGAGCATCAACTGCCTGCTCTGTAAAGTTTGGGAAGTGTGAGTATGAGAGGTTGAGGAGGACTTGGAAAAGTTAATAAAGGAAAACTGAATAAAGAAAAGTGAGGGAGGAAGGGACAGAGGAAAAATAGTGCAGAATATATCTTACTAACAACAGTTACCCTGTTTTATCTGTTGCCCCAACGATCAGCTCTCTCTATAAAACAGCCTATTGCCACATATAAAAGTCTACCAATAGTGGCTTGCCACTAGATGGGTGTGTATAAGTTTATTCAATCAATCAATCAATCAATCAATCAATCAATCAATCAATCAATCAATCAATCAATCAATCAATCAATCTCATCCTGTTCAAAATCTACTGAACATTAAATTTTGGCAGGTTAAACCACAGAAGCCTCTGTGCTGCAAGATTGGAAGACCAGCAGTCGTAAGATCATTCCTAACCTGTGTTCGCAGCCATTAGCAGGTGATAGTGAGGTGACAGATGCCAGCTCTGCCACTGGCCCCAATTCTGTCACCTGAGGCGACTGCCTTGTTCTGGCTAATGATGAGGCCAGCCCTGGACAAGAAAGAGGGTTACTGTATTAGCACGGTCATTTGGCCCTGGGCCTCAATGGGCCAGGAGGGTGGGTTCACCTTAACCAAGGGTGCATCACTGCCAGCCATTCTACAGATTTAAAAAGTAAACAGATCATCATGGTTTACCCTTCTCTTCCTCTGGAGTCTCCCTGGGACTGCGCACCTTGCCGAAGGTCAGACAGGCTGGCTGTTATTGTAGGAGGCTGAGTGGGAGAATCAAATTCCTAACCTGTGTTCGCAGCCAGCAGCAGGTGATAGTGAGGTGACAGATGCCAGCTCTGTCACTGGCCCCAGTTCTGTCACCTGAGGCGACTGCCTTGTGCTGGCTAATGATGAAGCCAGCCCTGGACAAGGTCTACAAGAAAGAGGGTTATTAGCATGGTCATTTGGCCCTGGGCCTCAATGGGGCAGGAGGGTGGGTTCACCTTAACCAAGGGTGCATCACTGCCAGCCATTCTACAGATTTAAAAAGTAAACAGATCACACACCATTCTTTACATTTAAATATGTTTTATCCCTCTTCCCAAAGAACTAGTGGGCTTCATCTGAAATGCGAACTGGCCCAGGCTCTTCTGAGCTCTCAGTTACTCTGCCCCTGCATTGTTTGCAAGAAGAAGGATCTACATGTGCTCTTCTAAAAATGGGGGAATAATGATGAATCATAGAGAAATGAAGTTGGAAGGGGCCTATATAAGGCCACGGAGTCCAACTCCCTGCTCAGTGTGGTTTGCCATCCACTATAACAAATGGGCGCTCCTTTCCCGCTGCTCCTTTGAAACCAATGGGCAGGGAAAAGAAATGGCTGACCGACGGCCGCTCTCTGAGAGTCGGGACTCCACCGGCAGGGGGCAGCCTTTCGTCTCCTTGCGGCTAACGCCGGATGCTTGCTATTAAGTGGGCTGGGTGGGGAAACGGCTCCCTTTGTGTCTTTCTCGACTTCAGTTTACTGCCACTCTGGCCCTGCATTGTTTGCAAGAAGAAGGATCTACATGTCCTCTTCTAAAAATGGGGGAATAATGATGAATCATACAGTAATGAAGTTGGAAGGGGTCTATATAAGGCCACGGAGTCCACCTCCCTGCTCAGTGTGGTTTGCCCTCTACTATAACATCCTGTATATGTTCCTGTACATTAACACATTTAGGAATGTGTGTGTGTGTGTGGACACCCTTGGGGACACCGGCGTGGCCAGAGCAGAGACAAGCTACTACTGGGCCTAGACGGAGCTCCTTGGCTCAGCTGCTAGCAACGACGTAAACCCTGAGCCCTCTCAATGGGCGCGCCTTTCCCGCTCGCTGCTCCTTTGAAACCAATGGGCAGGGAAAAGAAATGGCTGACCGACGGCCGCTCTCTGAGAGTCGGGACTCCACCGGCAGGGGGCAGCCTTTCGTCTCCTTGCGGCTAACGCCGGATGCTTGCTATTAAGTGGGCTGGGTGGGGAAACGGCTCCCTTTGTGTCTTTCTCGACTTCAGTTTACTGCCAACTTCCAAACTTTGGCGGGGCGGAGGGTTTTTTTTTCCCCCGAAGCGGGAGGGGGGGAAATGGGAAGCGATTCTGGTTTGAATTGTTTGTTTTCCGCTTTCAGTCCCCTGCTGACTGTCTTTCTGATTACAGTATTTTTTTTGCCTCGATTCTAAACTCTCCCGGAGTAAGTGCCCAATGATGGCTTTTCTATGTTCGGACTTAACTCCTATGTAAACGTGCATAGGAAAGCGGCCGCCTTGATTTATGGCCAGATGCTAACCGAATTTGCTCAGAATGCCCCCAGATTTTAGAGGTCTGCCGCAGAATGCAAGAGATGAAACCCGGACCCAGTGCTTCTCGATCACGCAGAATTCGGGGGTGGGGGGTTAGAGGCACTGAGATCTGTACGATTTATACGAAACAAACATAGCTAGGATCCCACCGTTTTACTATACAATTCGCAAAGTCACTTTCTTTTCCTATAAATCGAAGCAGGCAGAAGAAGTGTTTTAAAGAGATGATGATCTTCCTTCCTCCCCCCCATAGATGTAGCAGTTTTTAGTGCGTTGCAGCAAATACACCGACAGAACCCTGCTGCATCCTCAAGACGACTGCGTTTATGATAGGAACCGCTTCTACGGCTGCCAAGCCTATCTACGCACACTTGCTTGGACTCCATGGGCCTTTCTTCTGGCTGCCTCCAGAACACACCGGTGCTGAAGCAACCTGTCCTTGGATTCGGTCTTGAATCCTGAAGGCCATTTAATCTAGATTGGCGACGGTAACTGTTCAGCGATCCCAAGGCATCCTTTATGCATTTTAGTAGATTGGTAGACCGGGCAATCCAGGTTGATGTCGCTGCCCCCCCCGCCCCCAGCGCAGTCCCTCGCCGGCGACTTTGTTCAGCAGTTAGACCTCAACTTCGTTTCTTCGGAAGTTATGCCCCGATAAAATCAAGGGTTTTTGTTTTTGTTGTTCCCACGTAAGCGTGTCTACTCGGGCGGGCCTTAACAAGGGAGAGGAGCCGCCTTCACGCCGGGACAGCGTGGCGGGAGCAGCGCGATCCCCGGTGGGCGTTTGTTCGGAAGCCGTTGTCCATTGCTTGCCCCGCGCTTTAGCCTGGAGGGGGTCAGGCAGGTCCTGAGGACGCGCCCGCGTTGAGCCCAGACGCGCATCTAACGCGGGCCGGTGTCTACTCGGGCGGGCCTTAACAAGGGAGAGGAGCCGCCTTCACGCCGGGACAGCGTGGCGGGAGCAGCGCGATCCCCGGTGGGCGTTTGTTCGGAAGCCGTTGTCCATTGCTTGCCCCGCGCTTTAGCCTGGAGGGGGTCAGGCAGGTCCTGAGGACGCGCCCGCGTTGAGCCCAGACGCGCATCTAACGCGGGCCGGGCCG